GAAACAATCAGTGGTGAGGGGTTGCCCTGCAGTGGAGAAAGACAAAGTGGAAGCAATCCTAAGGGCCCACTAAGGACTTCCTTTTCAGGCTAGCATGAAGTAACAGGAGTCGAATTTCCTTTCCTGCCTAAAACAACTAAAATACTGAGTAAGTTAGAGGGAGTATATGCCATTTTCAAGTTATTGGGTATAGGAAATGAAAGATAGAATTTCTGAGAAATTACAAGAAATGAAGTGATTTCTCCAACTATTGCCCCAAAGAGTTGTAAAATATAAGTAGGAAGAAGTTAGAAAAATGCAAATTATAAAGTGCCATATAGACATCAACAATGTCTCTCGATGCTTGGAGAATTTCCATAGTGAAGTGCAAGAAAAAAACAACAAAAACCAACCCAAGCAGCATCTGAGGAGGTCTTCCTGAGTTTAGGAGATGGAGCTGCATGGCTAAGGAGGCCCGAGAGGCAAGAAAACATGGGACAGAATTCCAGAGTACACCCGGAGTGGACACCAGTCACTTCCAAAGCCTGTCCTTCAGTGCAGCCCTGCTCAGCACACATGGCTGGGGAAAGAACCACCTCCAAGTATTTAAGGCAGCATTGCCTAGACCCCCCCCACAGTAACAGTGTGGTGGGAGTGTTACTGGAATTATTTATAAGAACACAAATTTTCCTGGAACCAACAACTTAAAATCCACAGCAATATGGACCTACTAAAAAATCACTCAGCATACAAAGGAGAACTGCTATTTTGCTATTTCTTTAAAATAATTTTCTTAAAATTACACTGAACCTTAAATTGTCCTTAAAACATTAATGAAGTCATTTTAATTGTGTTCGCCTTACATGATACTTTGAAAATTCCTGAATTAATAACATTTGTAAGGTGAGCAGCACTGTAATTAAAAGCACAAGTTTCACAGACAAGAAAACTAGAGTATAAATTACTCCCAACATCTTTCCAAATTATTAGAGCACCCCTCAGTTTCAGTTGATTCATCTGTAAAATAATATTGCTTCTTAGGGCTGCTGTAACAACTGTTCCTAAATAGAAACAGGCCTAATGCTGCAAGCCTTTGATCCCAGCTCTTGGGAGGCAGAGACAGACAGAGCTCTGTGAGTTCAAGGCCAGCCTGGTTTACGTAAGTTCTAGGCCAGATAGACCTACACAGTGAGACCCTGTCTCAAAAACAAAACAGAACAAAAAAGTTGCCATGCTACATATTCAGGCAAACATTACTAAGGATTTATCATATCTCATGAGCAGAGAGACACTAGAAATATGAAAGAGAAAGGGCCTCAAAGCACACTCTACATGGAACCCACATTAAAGTTCAAACTGCATATTCCATTTCGTAGTTTCTAAGTAGGGCAATTATTTTAAGGTTCTCCTACAAAAATTAAAGGATCACTCTTTTCTTCTTTGAAAAACTAATCTAAGATGTTGTCAGGTTCAACCAATTAAGGAATGTCTGGGAAATATTTAGAATCTGAAAAACATGCTAAAGGTTTAACTGAAAAGCAACCTGAAATTAACATCACCTTCCAAAATTCTCAAATTAACAGACTAAATTATATACAGACATAAAATGGACCAATCTGATATTATGACAATTTTTGTCAGAAAGGCTGGACCAATAGATATAAGGAACAAAAATCAAGTTTGCATTTCATTTGCTCATCACTTAGATGATGACATATGGCTTAAGTATTAACCTTCTTAATACAATATTTTCATATTCATTTTGAATTTAACTTGGTCATACTGCTACAAATTCATTTTATTAGTTGCACTACATAGCTTCTCACTTCACTCAAGGTCTTCTGAATCTCTACCTCTCAAAGTCCCCAAAACCACCACCAGCATCACCCTGAAGCTTAATATAAGGGCAGAGTCTCATTCCCCACAACAGTCTATTCTGATTGAGTCAGAATTTGAATTTTAACAAAAATCTCTACAGGATGGCTATGAACACTGATGCCTGATTAGCAAAGCTGTAACCTGTGCCAGGTTCAAGAGTTTTATTTTGTTGATTGTTACAAAAAAAAAAGTTTATTTGCTGCCAAATTGTATGACATGTAATAAGAATTCAGAGAACTAAATGGAATCAGCATGGTGGACATTCTCTGTATAGCATAATCTTGATGTCTCCCCACTTGACCTTCCCTCTCAACAGGGCCTTGTAGTAAGAAATCTTGTACTATTCATCTTTCTCTTGGATGGACATTTTGTCAGCCACTGTGACGAGCGTCCTCTTTGAAGCTAAATAGCTACACATAAGGGATCAAGAGAACAGAGTCTCCATAATTTCAGGGACAATTTTTAAAAAACCAAAATGGGTTTATCCACAGTTGAATTTAAAACATTCCATATGAAAAAGAAAACTACCGGAATGATAACTACTTTATCATTATAATTTTCTGTGCATCACCTAACATACAGTTTTACTGTAGGTACCACATGCCTTAAAAAGGAATTCACCTGGGACTTGGAGAGTACAGTATTACTACTATTATACAATAGTCGTGGTATTATTATTACTATTATACAATAGTCACAGTGCCTATAAAATAGAGCAAATCTTGTTTCTCTTCCATTTAAAAGAAAGATATGACAGACCTAAGTTGAAACTGATCACAGCAGGCAGGATGGCTGGGCACAAGTTCAAAGCAAGGTACAAATGTTCAGTTTTCAAAATCCCTGCAAGTGCCAGCTTCATCTCTTGTCACTAAGGCCATGGTGTTATGCCAAACATTTGAAAACAGTTGAAGAATGCTGTTCCTTATAAGCAATTATGAAGAGCTTTGCAAAAAGAAGGTAAAAAATTGTAATAACAATTGACACCTTAAAGTGGTCAAAATGTCCATACTCTGGGATGCAATATAAGAGTTACCTGGCTTAATCTGAGCCAATGCACCCAATACAGAGAAAAGGATTGAAAAGGATTAAAGAGTTGCTAGGAGAAATTATCAAGGAGCCTACTGAAGTAGTCTTGTAAGTTAAATATGTCCTCCAACATCCCTGGCCTTTTGTAAGATCCAATTATAGATCGGTCACACTTGCATTTAACTCTACCTCACTCGATTTTGCATTTTTGGCCTATATCTTCTTCTAGGATACAGAGTTCTACAGAGCACAACAAGGTGTTTAATGATTTTTTTAAATGGGCCTAAATATAATGATTTCCAGTTTTAGAGTACCATTTACTCTAATATTTCAGAATGTCATGAATAATTCACAATGCCCTAGTTCTATTCACATCCCCATCCAAAGTTCTCAAAACTGTGCACTTGGCTCTATTTATTCACCTATCAGTCACTTTTCAGTCCACTTCTGGCTGCCTTCTACACCCTTCCCTCACTCGAACCATGAATAACCCTTCACGTGGCTAAATACAATGGTCACCCTCTAGTTGTTATTTTTCTTTTTCTGACAGTATCATTCCACAAACTTAATCAAGCATTCTCTCTCTCTTGAGAGAACTCTCTTCATTCTCCCAGGTACTTTGTAACTCTCTAGCTCTTGTCAATCTGAGAGCTTCTGACATTTTCGTCTGAACTACAGTCAGTCACTGCACTACCTTGGGAACAAGTCCTGGGATCTCCTCTAACCTCATGACTGTATCACCTTCATGATGCGGACTCACGCCTTCACATACCCAGCCCAGACCTGCCCTCTGAGTCCAGAGCAGTACACCCAGCTGAGTACAACTGGAGTTTCACACACGCAACTCTCAAGTCTTAGATTTTCCCATTTTTCCTCCAGTGCATCCCATTACCCTATAGTTGCTTCTGCCAGAAACCAAAGCCCTTTACCCTCACTGCTCACATTCAACCAATCACTAAGCCTTTTCATTTCTATCCTCCAAAGTATATGTCCCATTTCCCCATCTCTACCATCCCTTCCCACCCCGGCAGGCCTGAGGTGTCATTATCAAAAATTTTGTCTTACTGAATTCACTGATACCTTCCTCTAATTTCATCTACAAAGACAGAGTGATGTGCCAAAGAAGAAAATGATTAAAACCCTTCCTATGGCTGCTCTGTGGGTTGTAAAATAATATTCACAAGACAACTGTCCTCCTCTCCAGACATCAACACCACTTACTATCATTCCCTTGGTTCCCTAAGAGCCAATCTTTTGGCTTCTCTCTATATATCAGACCTGCTGCCTTTTCTCAGGTGTGAAGCCTTTCACATATTATACCTTCCACCTGGAATATATGTTTCACTCTTATCTCACCCATGGCGATCCAAAAACATAAACAACTCAGTGTACACACACACACACACACACACACACACACATGCCCTATGACGTAAGATTGTTATTTTTATTCCTGTTTTAAGATTGTAATTTTTATTCCTGTTTTGTCTCTACTATATTTATTTCAATACAACATCAAAATATTGTTTCTATTTTACCATAAGTGAGATTCAGAGAGGCCAAGTAGCTTAACCAAGAACGTGGAAATTCAGCATTAAGTGGGGTTTCAGGGACTGGCAGTGTGGGTGAGTGGTAAAGCACATGCTCAGCACACAGGAGGTCTTGTTCCAGTCCCCAGCACCAAAATTAACAGCTAGAATCTAACTTTAGTCTTGTGGACTACCAAAGAGCATGGTAGGGATGAGGCACTTAGATTCCCCAGTACCACAAAAAAAGCAAACAAAGCCATGCATGAGAACAGGGTCCATTTAGGCCTTGCTCCATGCTTAATCCTTAGCAAGGTGAACAGTGTCCAGCATGCAATCCATGTTGAGTCAGTAAAGTTTAATACAGGGATGTTTAGCTCAACCTTGCATAATTATTTGAGAATGAAATCAATTACAACTATGCCTCGTAGTCCTATTTAGACACAAGCTTTCTATGTTAGCAGTCACCCCCTCTGGTCCTTGTAGAGGTGTGAGGGTGGGGCACTAGCCCTGTGTGGCTGCCGGCCAGGATTCCTCCTTCCTTCCCTGGGGATCTGGCAGCTGCCTGTCCTTCCTACCCTCAGGCCTCACCTTCCATGTGGGCGACGATCCTACGTCAGCTTCGGAGCTAGGCTCAGGTGACTCTCCGGTGTGCAAGAGCATGAAGCGGCCATAGCGCTTCAGAGGCCACTGGGAGACTTCTCCTGGAAGGCCGAGGCCCGAGGCCACTTTTCCCGCCTCAGCCATGCTTGTCCACGGTCCTGGAAAGCCACCTCCACGTGACACCTCACGACAATCGGCTACCCAATCAGGAAGCGCGGTGGCTCAAGGCCCACCCTTCCCCTAAGCGAAAGCGGAGGATGCTTCTACCTAGGGACCGGAAGTGTGGTCTTCGCTGAGTTTTTTGTTGTTTTTTTGACATTGGGTAGCCTGGAAACGAAGCTGTTATGCTTACAATTTGGAAGATTTCAGTACCAGCATGGGCGACTTCACCTTCCTTCATGGCAGCCCACATCATCGTTCATCAGCCCCGAGCCTCGAGACTTCCTAAACTGGCCGACTTCCTCATAACCACTAAACCACAGGGCTAGGCTGGCTTTCTAGGGTGTCTTCGTCCTCATAGCAGTTTCTCAGATCATGGCACCCTCTTCCCATCCTACCTCAAATCCACCACAACCATTCAGGAACTATTCAGGAACCATGACTACTTTCTCACCATCCTGTGCCTCTGAACATATTCCCTCCTTTTTTCATCTGTAGAGAGGAACAGATGGATGGGGGGTGACCCAGCAGTATAAGGTGTGCCTCCATCAAACAGCAAGCAAATGACATTTCTGGGTGATTTATAGCCAAAAAGGCATCTTCACATCTGTTAGTTCATTTATCCTCCCAACAACCTTGTGTTGAGTTACAGAAACACAACAGGGATTACACACACGCACACACGCACGCACGCACGCACGCACACACGCAGAACTGATGGTTGCAAAATGAGGTCCGGAGAGCAGACGTTATTCGGACATAGCTGGCAAATGGCAGAGCCAAAGTAGAACTGTGGACCCCAGAGTCTCTTCATATGTCTGCCACACTTAACAAAGAATTTAAGTACTTATACAATCTGTGTCAAGTCAGAACAATGTATACAGAGAGAATGGAGGCTATGTTAATCAAACACAAAGTAAAAATAAACGGAAAACTTGAAAGTTTTATTTTTTTAATTGGGTTTGTTTTCTTTCTGTTTTGAGACAGAATCTCATTTTGTTGCCTATGCAGGTCTCAAACCTGTGGTGAGGCTGCCTCAGCCTCCTGAATGTTGGGATTATAGCTAGCAGCCATCAAGCCAGGCTCAATGCAAACAGTTTTTAAACTACACAGTAAACACCTAGAGAATGTTTGGGAAGGTGGTCATTTGTTCAGTACAATGCACCAATTATCTATAGTGTGCAAAAAAACCATGCTAGTCAGCAACTGGCTACAGAAATGCTAACCCATTCTTAGGATGCACAGTTAGCCTCTGGGGCCTCAGGATCTGATAAGGAAGAATGAAGCAAGGTACAAACAAATTCATCCGTCTAAGGTTGCGTGCCCAGCGAACGAACAGCAGAGCCTCCGAAGAACCATGGGCTCCACCACAGCTCCACGAGTCAACCTCACTCACAAAGAATTTAAGTATTTCTTTTTTTTTTTTTTTTTTTTTTTTTTTTTGTTTTTTGAGACAGTGTTTCTCTGTGGCTTTGGAGGCTGTCCTGGAACTAGCTCTTGTAGAATTTAAGTATTTCTAAAGCTTGGCCAAGTCAGGAGCTTAATCCATATAGCTGACAGGAAATGCTGTGTCATGATGTCATAAGTCTACCAAGAGGGAGTGGTGGTGGCATTTGACTTAGGGCTTGAAGGGTGAGGAATTGAAGGGACCAGCTCCCCATTTTGGCAGCCATAACAGCCGAAACACGTACTTGCCATGACCTTGTCTTAGTCACTACGAGGTCAGATGCCTGCCTCATGGCAAGGAACCAATCAGAAGTTAGCTGGTGCTGCTATGCTTTACGGCTCTGGGTGTGCTTTACAGACAAGTGCACAGCAATGACACGCAGAGCATAGCAACCATCCTGGGAGGGCCTCTGGGTCCTAACAACCAGTTAACCAATCAACACAGGGCAAACCCTCCAAACCTGGAGGCACACCAATCCTGAGCCTGTGCATACCCCTGGACACTCCCCTTACGCTGCCCTATAAGGTCTCTATGCAGACACTTTGAGCCGTCTTTCTAGCCATCCACCATGGCGGGTGGATGAAAGACCCGAGCTAACATGAGGTTAGCTCGTTAAACAACTACAATAAAGCCTCGTGCAGTTTGCATTAAGCTTTTGACTCTGCCTGGTGATTGGGCTGAGATCCTGGGGGCCTGAGCTTCTGGGGTTCTTACAGAATGATGAGGAAACTGGCATCCCATGGGGGCAGAGGGGATTGAAGATCAGAGATATAGAGGTAACAGCATAGCTGCTAGGAAGCAAAGCTGTGTTTTAAGAAAGAAGGGAGTTGGTTAGAAGATTACCCAACAGCCATGAAGGAGTGTGCGGTTTTTCTTGGCAGGTGGTTAAGAATGTGGAAAATTTGCATAAGCAAGTGACACTATCCTATCAGGTGGTCCAGGCAGATTAATCTGGGTCGGGGGTGATGTGGTGTGGGGGGGAGATGAGATAAATTTGATCAAAGTCTTACCGTTAAAGTTTCTTACCATTCCATTTATCCAGTAAAGTTTACTGAAAGGGTCAGGTTTCAGAAACTGCTTCTGAAAGTCCTGACGTGACACAGCAGTACTGTACTTAGTGTGGTAGCAAAGAGTTAAAAGCTTGGTTTGAATCTCAGGTCTATGGCTTGCCAGCTGTGTGACCTTGGGGAAATCACTCAACCTCTCTGTAAAATAGGGTCATTAAACAACTACCTTAAGGGATCACGATAAGAGCATATGGGAGGAAATACTTGGTAAATTGTAATGTGATACACGTGTTGATCCTTTCTGTTTCCAGGGTTAAAGTGACTTTCTATGAGCTAGGTTCAGGAAGGGAGGATGGGAACAGAAACCTGACATTGGGTCTCTGGGGCACTCACCTTCCAGGCCCAGGGTTGCAGCTGCTGTCAGACACCCTTCACAGGAACAGATGGTGCTCACAGTTGGGACCCTGTCAGTGTCCAAGGACACCCAGAGTCCTGCTGAGTTCCCACCTGCAAGCTTCCTTCCTAGACAATACACCTGCATCCAGCTTCTGGGGCCACCAGCATCTGCCAAGAGCAGGTCATGCTTGCAGAGGGAGATATATGATAAAGCCACAGCTCAATGCATGGAAGCTTGCACAAACTTACAGTATTAATTAATTAAATTACAGTAACTTGAACACCCAAGAAACCCAAGCATTGTAGAGAGTAAAACCCACAAGGCTTCTCCCTTCTAAGACTTGGATTAGTAGGGGTCAGAACATTGAGAAAACCACTGTATCCTAACTGCTAAAGTGTCTTCATTTTTAAAGACACAAGTGAAATGATTATTAAAGTACAGTATTATATAACAAAAAGCACAGATCTCCAGTGTTTAATTAGGTAAGTTTGGGTTTCATGTTCTATTTTTCATTTTGGTTTTTGAGATGGGGGCTAACTATGTAGCCCTACCTGACTTGGAAAGTCTTAAGTAGACTAGGCTGGCCTGAAACTCACAGACCCACCTATTTGTTTCCTGAGTGCTGGGATTAAAGGTGTGTACCACCACACCCAGCCAATTAAGTGAGTTTTAACACCAGTGTATATTCATGTAACTACCCAAGACAAGATATAAAACATTTTTGAAACTTAAATCCCTTCCTCTTCCCAGTTGATGGGTGAGCCCATTATATCTACCATTTTCTTTTCGTTTTTTTGAGACAGGAGCTCATATAGTCCAGGCTGACCTCTACCAAAGGTGACCTTCAACTCCTGCTCCTACTGTCCCCACCTCCCAAATGCTGGTATTACAGATACGCACTTCCAAGCCCCCTGGCTTAGATCTGCTTCTTTTGTTCTTCGTAATTTCATTTTTAGGCGATATCAGGAATTTACTCTTTTTTTTTTTTTAAAGAACCAAATAGCATTCTATGTTATGACTAGTTCAGTTTACTTTTTAAAAATTCCAGTGCTATGAGGATGAAGCCAGCGCCTCATGCACACTAGGGAAGCATCTACTGCTGACCTACATGTCTAGTCCATCTTCACCTGTAGGGTTGTTTTCAACTGGGGTTTTTTGTTTGTTTGGTTGGTTTTGTTTTGTTCTCGTTGTTATAAATATTCTCACTCAAGTCTTTTTCCTAGTATATGCTGTCATTAACCTAGGGATCTCTAACCATAAAGTGAAGCATGATGGAAGAAGACAATATCAGCTTCAAGCCTCAATATCATGTTCCCTTACACAGTGTGCCCTCACACATACATATGCAAAAAAGGGTTCGTTTCTCATGGAAGAATAGGGATAAGTGACTGGTTCATCTTTGGGATGAGCAAGTGCCCACACCTAGAGAGTTTGACCCTGAGATAAAAAGGATAAAGGGAGGGCATATTGAATAAGGGGAGGACATATCCTGTACATTGGGGACAAGATGGGATTTAAGACTTCGGCTTTTAGAGGGTAATAAGTTATTGATTATGTCCTAAGAATCTATTTGTCTCTTTTCCTCCTCACTCCTCGAGTGGGATAATGCTGAGATTTGTGTAATGCTCTGTTTCCCAGCATTCCCCAGTGAGATTCTTTTATGTCTAACTCCCTTCTCCCTCCCTTTCAGTGTTCCTAGGATCACCTCTCCCTTCCCCCTCCCTCTCAATGTTCCCTAGGATCATCTCCAAAATAAATTGTTTGTATTTGAATCCTTGTCCCAGGGTCTGCTGCTGAAACAAAGATGGCAACAAACAAGACCAAAAGAGCTTCAGATTTAGTCTTAAGATCATTGTAGAGAAGCAGATAGTGCAAGAGGTATTTAGGAGAGGAGGAATCATTCTCAATCCGAAGACCCTCCCATGCCTAAGTACTGAATGGCAGGTGACTATTGGCTAATACATCACCCTGTTGCATGAACTCATTCTGCGGTGGTGGTGGTGGTGGTGAGTAATAAATAAACACCCCCCCCACTCACACACACCATACAAGGCACTAATGACAGACTAAAATTTGAGTTGGTAAACCAATGATTTTATTGTGCTTTCTTGCAGAGCATGGACAAGGGGATATT